AATGAGAATTAATTAAGAGGGGAATTACAAACTTTTTTTTCTTCTAGGTTTGGTTTTTCTGTTTTACTACAAAATTAATATAAACTCCAGTCTTTTTCAGGTGTACAACTCCCCTGTAATCTCCAAACCACTCTAATAACTGGTCCTTTTAGTGGTACATTTTTGTTAATTAGACAAATTTCTTGCAGCAGTTTGGCAGATTTCCAGTTTTAAGATAATCAGTGCTGACATATATTTCAGGCCTGCGCATTATAAAACTGCCAGATCCATTCTGTGTCCTAATAGCATTATGCCTCAAAAGTAGATTTTGAATGCTCATTGTTTTAATGGATAACTGAAGCAGAAACACTGCTCTGATTCACTTGCGTTAGGGACTTGCTTTCTTATGCTTGAGACTTTTCCCAGAATAAACAGTTCTGCCAGAATACTAAATATCTGTAAAGTCAATCAATTTCACTGAGTATCAGCCCCTCCACCAGGAAGTCCTCTGCAAACTTACAGAAGTCCCCATCAACAGCCAGTGTGAACTCTTGAATCTTCACTTCCATTAATTTCTGTGGGCAAACTTTAAAACCCCTATTTAAGAAGAAAGCTTTTTAATACAGCTACTGCTGCCTGAGACTTCCTTTTCATATGAACAAAATTCCCACAGGTTTTACGAAAATAAAGAATAACAGTCCTGACATCAACAGTCTTTTGTGGTTTTGTTTTTTGGGTTTTTTTGGGGTTTTTTTTAAGTTAGACTTAAATAAACAGTTATTACTATGAAAGCCCAGTGAATAATTTAACCCAGAGACAGCCTGAACTAAAAAGTGGAATAATTTTACATGTGTTCATGATCTAGAACAAAAATCTTCACCCAGTTTAGGATTAGAGTGGATGACTATGCTTTTGCATCATCAACATTAAATATTGATCTTAATCAGTAAAATAACTTTTTTTCTCATTTTGACACCTTTTCAAGACCTTATGAGGCAAGCCAATGCTTAGCAAGTTCAACCAACTACCTATTCCGGTACTTTTTTAAAAAGAAGTAGAAAGCGCTCATCACACTTCTCTAATAATAATTAGTTTTGACACACTGAAGACTAAACATAGATCTAGGAAGGATAAAACATACTACAGAAACAGAACTGAAAGAATGAAAGAATGTTTAATGTCTAAATGAGAGTGGTAATATTCAGAAAATACTGGGTTTAATTCAGGATGGTGTCTATGTGATAACTAAGTTTTCTGGCAAGGAGAAAATTATGCAGAATCTAGTAAGTGTAATGTTCTATTCTGCTTTTTTGAGGTAGTGGGTACTTTTAAATATTGCTACCTGAAGTTGGCTAGAAAATATTTTATTTTTTCTTATAGCAAAATTTGACTTTTTACTGATAAACACAAACCTGAAGGCACTGATCACTTCTCTTGGATCATGCTAGCAGTGGTAGCAGTAGTAGCAACAGGAGCAATAGTAGGAATAATAGCACTGCAGCAGGCTTAAAACATTTAGCGCTCTCAAGCTGGCAACTCCCTCTGCCTTAATGCAAACAAAATTCTGCAGCTCATAGATAATGCTGGTGCTCACCTCCTCAGTAGATCAGGGCACCACAAAATATACTGGTTCTGTGGCCAGAAATGTCCATTTTGAGATTCTGGTACTGATTCACAAAGCCTTGAACAAGGAAATGTCATGTGATCCCAAAGATTGTCTCTTGTTTGGGGACCCACCTTGGTCCATGGAAGAGCCATGCCTACATCATCTTCACATGACAATGTAGGAATATCATCATACCTTTCCCCAAAGAAACAGAGGAGAAGAAAATCCATCATGCCTAGAAGCCAATGACTAAACCAAGATAAACAGGGAAATAAGCATCAAACTTGGAATTA